AAACTGCAAAGAAAGCTGAACACAAAATATACAAATACTGTATATAACCTGGAGTAGGCCAGTCTCCAAGAGGGCCCCCAGTGACCCTCCCCTCCCAGTTTTCATACCCTGGTGTATTCCTCTCATCCATTTCATCAGGGTTGGTCTGTATGACCAATGGAATACAGAGTGAACAAGAGCGTATAAGCAAGGTCAAGTCTTTAAAAAATTGCTCCTTCTACCTTGCTCTCTCTTGGATTGTCCACTGTGGCGGAAGCTAGCCACCATGTTGTGAAGGCATTCAAGGCCCTGTGGAGAGTTTGAATGAGAAGCAGGTGAGGCTTCCTTTCAACATCCAGCCGGCAGCTTGCCAACCATTGAGCGAGCCCTCTCAGAGGTGGGTTCATAGCCCGGATGAAGCCCTCAGATGAGTGCAGTATCTTAAGAGACCCTGAGCCAGAATTGTCCAATAAAGCCACTCCCAAATTCCAGAACTACAAGAAGTTGTGAGATAATAAGTGTTTATTGTCTTAACCACTAAATTTTCAGGTTATTTGTTGTGCAACAGTAGATAACTAATGTACAGCCTTCTAAAATATTTATTGGTTTAATGAATAGAAAAGAATTTGGACAATGTAAACAATGTTTAGTATCCTTTATATCCTGTAGATTTTTTAAAGTTTATCACAAATTTAACACTTCGAAAGTAGTTAAAGAACTTCAGTTTAACTGCAGAGCTAATAGATTCAGAAAAATAAAATTACAGTTTCTCCTGAAACAATATGACTAGATTAGGTATTCATTAATCTAGTGATCTTCAGCCGATGTGCCACAAGAGTCACACTGGTGTGCCGCAAGAATTTTTAAAACACGCTGTACCTGACTATTTAGTTAGGGGCACTGACCTTTCCAACTTTATTTCCTACTATAATTAGGCAAACTCTGTTTACTATTCCCAGGGCCCCCCAGCTCTCCCTTCTTTTTATCCATGTCTTGATTCATATTGTTTTTTAAATTTTTTACTTATTTATTTTTAGAGAGGGGAAAGGAAGAGAGAAAGAGAGGTAGAGAAACATGTATGTGTGAGAGATACATTGATTGGTTGCCTCTTGCACACCCCCAGCTGGGAACTTGGCTTGCAGCCCAGGCACGTGACCTGACTGGGAATCAAACCCATGACCTTTTTGGGTCACAGGCTGGCTCCCAGTCTACTGAGCCACACCAGTCAGAGCCATATTGTTTCTTTCTACTGAAAAGCACTCCTCTCCCATCCTAACTCCCCTCCTTAGGACGCTCCTCAAATGCCACCTCTTTTATAAAGGATTCTGTGATCATCCCAGCTGGAAGTAATCTCTCCCTGCTTCCAAGTCTGAGAACATGGTAACTGCTACTTGTCACATTTTAAGTTTATAGAGGTAATTACTCAACATGTATTTTATTTTTCCTGTTTAGTCTCTTAAAGTGCAGGTCTAAGATGATTCACTGTTGTGTGCTGTACTTGTGAGCAGCATTAAGCAACTGATAAATTCTGGAATGGCTAAGTTATTGAATTATTATGCACGTTCCTATTCCAGAAAATAGGCTTCCTGCAATAGAATAGCACTCCTATCCATGGGTTGGTCCGGAGGGTAATGGGGATTTGAGGGTGTGATACATAGCTGTAGTAAGACATGAGGAAGGGCGGTACTCTCTGACCCAATGCTCCTGCAGATACCATTAGTCCAGTTGTACCAAGTCCATTCAAAACACACGTACTGATGATGTCTTAACACATTCCAGGTTCAATACTTGGCTTGATAAATATAAAAGATATCACGTACCTTCACCTTAGACATCCTTCAGATCGATAGCAAGATGTTCCAGGGCTCTGGCCCTTGGTGTTGGGTGTGAGTCCCAAGTTATACCCCCAAAGTGAGTCATTGCTCACTGTGCTGAAATCAGTCCCTGACACACCTTATTGGACCTACCTTGGTTTTGCTTGGCGTGGCTAACTTATGCTCTAGGTGGCTTGAGTAATCTATTCCCATGGTTTATCTTACTGTTTGAAAATTTTATTCTAGTTACATTTTAAACTGGCTTTGTGTTTAATTTTTAACTCCATAAAAGCCAACTTTGCTGTGTAGCTCAGAAGAATTGGCACTGGGTACTGTTACTTTCACTGTTTTTAGACTTTTGGGTGGACCTTTCTAGTCCCCTTCCCCATTTCATTATTTTCCACTGTTGGGAAATACTGTGTCACTTTATTTAAGTCAGCCAATACGGATATATGCTGAGGGAGGAAATAGACATAAAATAAAGGTGGCACTGTGAAATCGTACATACAAGAAAAGTAAGTCACTTCATTTTGAAATCTGTTCTGGTGCCTCCGGAACCATGCTTTCTCAACCTGCCCTCTTTATTCTGGTACACCTTTATATTCCAGCCATACTGAACTCTTCTAATACTTAAAGTCTCAGAATTCTTTTTGTTTCACTTCACCAGCGACAAGAATTAATTTTTGCCTCTGCTTCAGGACTCAGCTTAGGCCTCTTACCCCATAAGAATGTACCACTCCCTTCCACCTTCATCCTTCTCCTTCTAAGATGAGTTACTTGCCCTTTATGTCCATCTCTGTCACATCCTGTGCCTATTTCTGTTGGAGAACTTAGCATAATACATTATAGCTGTTAGTTTACTTATCTGTTTCTTCTAGTAAGCTGAAGTCTCCCCAACAAATGGGCCTCTATCCAATTCCTCTTTTGTATCTAGAAGTGAGCCCAGTGTCTGTTATATATTAGACAGTCAGTAAATGCTTATTAATTAGATGATTCAATGCCCAGCTTCCTAAACTAATTTCAAGGATGGAAGCCATCAAGGAGTACTGTTAAATTCTCTCCTATTGGGCTAATGTTGTAAAAACATGAGCTCCTACGGAATTAATAACACTATTACATAGTTACATATTTGCAATTTTAAATATAAAATTATTAAATAATGCAGTAAAACACTAATTAGTAGGCAATTTATATCCTGTGTAAAAATAATACAGAATTCAATTTCTGAGTAACTTCTGCCCTGCAAGTAATAATCTACTAGTTAGCACTTAACTACCATAAAAACAGATGAACCAGGTTACTGTGTACCTAGAAAAAAGATATATAAGGAAGGAGTGAAGGATAAAGAAGGCAGAGAATAGCAAAATGCCATACAGTTGGTTGCAAACTAGCACAAAGGTGAATGCTGTTCATGAGCTTGACTCAGAAGGGCTGAAAGAGGAGCAAAGAGCAAAAGGCAAACCACAGTGGAAGCAGGATTCACCGGGAACAGGCTCAAGCAGGTGAGCACCTGGATGGGGCACAGGTCCTATGGTATTGTGGTCTCTCGGGCTCTGGGTGACAAGGAAGGTAGGAGTCTAGAATGTGAAGCTCTGGGGAGGCCGAGTAGGGAGGAAGAGTGTTTCCTATAGAGACAAAGATAAGCTGAAAAAGGCTGTAGGAGGAGATGTGCATAGTGACAAACACTGGCTGGCACCAAAGTCTCAATGAAAGGAATTGAAGATGGGGCTTTGTTGGGGGTGAATAGGAGATAGCAAAAAACATTGAGGAGAACAATTCAGAAAGTAATGGATTTAAATACAGTTCTGTATACTCTGCAGTTTATACAAAGTAAATCTGTATACATTATACATTATAATCTGTATACATTATACATAATGTATACATTATTATGCATATAAAACTTTTTATATAATTGACACATTTGGAGAAACAGTCTTTCCTTGGAAGTTTTGGAATATTAATCTTCCAATGGGTAGGTAATCTTCCTTTGGAAAGAAGTCAGCTATGCATTCTTGTTAAATGGGTGGGATTCAGTACCTGAGCTGTTGGATCACTGTTCATTCCTTCAGAGTATTTATTCAGCACCTACCGAGTGCTAGCTCTGTTTCAGCACCAGGAACACATCATTGAACAAAAACAGACAAACTCCTGCCTATGTATAACTCACATTGGGAAAGGGGTGGAGGATGGGGAGCAGAGAGTTTGGAAAAAACAGGAAATGGTATACCACATTAGAAAGTAACACGTGCTGTGGAGAAATATAATAGGGAAGGAAGGTAGAAGATGTGTATGTGACTAGGTAGGTTGCAGTTTTCGATAGAGTGAACAAGGAAGGTCTCACTGAGAATCAAATAACATTTGGGCAAAGACTAACGAAGTGAATGAGCAAGCTGTGCAGGCTGGTGTTATGTAAACAGGATGCCATTCTATAAACTAAACTGTAAACCAAACACCTGCTTAAAGTAGCTAATCTTAAAGAAAGATGAGATTAGAAGTGGTGTTAGAAGGTGGGGGGAGAGCAAAAGGAGCATTTTATATATTCATCCTTTTCTTCCTTTAAAATCTGTTTAGTTTTACACGGAACAACTGGAATGACTGTGGTTTTCACTCCATGAAGTGGATACCTAGTATGCATTTTTCCCTTTGAAATCTTTTGTTTTTTTGGAATCAAAACAAATGTTTGCTTAATGGAAATAGAAGCTGGAAGCCCTGGCTGGTGTAGCTCAGCAGGTTGAGCATGGGCCTGCGAACCAGACAATCGAGGTTTGATTCACAGTTAGGGCACATGTCTGGGTTGCAGGCCAGTTCCCTGCAGGCCAATTCCCAGCAGGGGATACACGAAAGGCAACCATACATTGATGTTTCTCTCCCTCTCTCCTTCCCTTTCCCTCTAGAGATAAATAAAAAAAATCTTTAAAAAAAAAAAAAGAAATAGAAGCTGGAGAGGTTTTTTCAGAAACCACAATAATAAACAAAACATGAATAAGCCATGAAGAAGCTGCTGTGGCATCAGTCACAGAGAGGTGGGTGGGTTGATGACTGGACAGTACACTTCTTGAAGGAGAAAAGGGACCAAGCGTTGAACATGGTTTAAGCTCTGGAGAAGGCAAGGATCTTATCCACTGTGAGACGAGAGTTAGCATAAATAAGTAGCAAATTATGTATTAATGCTCAGAGAATCTTAAAGGTGGTTTTTGTTTTCAGTTATTTAACTTCCTCTGCATGACCAGCCTATTTGTTGTAAGAGAAGAATCAGCCAAAGGGTGTAATTTGAGATGTGAGTATGAATCTGGCCAGGCAGCCGTCCTGGTTTCAGTGGTTGGTTTTCTGGGATGAACTTACCTTTGTGTAAGATTCTAAAAATTTTCCTTTTCTAACCAGTAGTTCTCATTCTTAACTTCAAAACAGAATTTCAGCCTCAAACAGTATTCAAACTGATAATTCTAACTCTGCCTTTGTAGTACCTCAGAACAATTCTATTGTAAATAGTTTGAATTCCAAATGCAATTTTAATTTGCTTTTATTTTTGTGATATGTCATCTATGGGAAAGTGATACATTTTGATTAAAAGAAACCCTAGGAGGTCAACAAAGTTATTAATGATTGAAAATCCTCAATCAATACTCCAAATACACTGAGTATTTTGTTAGAGATAAGGAGACCGGGAAATGAGGACTTTGGAACTAGATCTTATGTAACCAGTAACTATGGCTTGCACAAGGTGAAATCCAGAGATGAAAGCGGTATCAGAAGACCCCAAAAAACTGTTTTGGCACATCAAAATTACAACTAAACTACAGAATGGCCATCATTTAGCACCTGAAATCTAACTGGATGGAAGTCCTACAACTAGGAATTTAAAGAAGAAGCTATATTGAGACTGGTAGGAGGGGTGAGATGCAAGATGCACTGGTTCCTCGCCCACATGTGATGGGTTAAAATAGGGAGGGATATCTCAGCTGCAGAGGATGACTTCCCAGCCCCACACCAGGCCCTCCAGCCCAGAATTCCAGTGCTGGGAAGGGAAGTTCCTATAACTTCTGTCTATAAAAACCAGTGGGGATTGTGGCTGAGTGAGATGGAGGACTTTGGAGTCCCAGGCAGTTCTTAAAGGGGCCATGCTCGGACTTATAACCTTGTGAGCTTCAGAACTGGGCAGCGGCTTGAAAAGAACCAGGGACATATGGGAAGGAACTGAATTGTCTGGATCATGGAGAGACCTAGAGGGATAGCTTTCTGGCAGACGAAAGTGCTGGCAGAGGCCATTATTCCTTTAATGAGACATCCCTTCCCCCAAAGAGCTGGCAGCTGCATACCAGATCTGACCTTCAGATCTTTCAACCTGGCTCACACTGTTTACACCACACTGACAGTTCCCTGAGACCACGCCCCACCCAACTTGTGGGTGCACCCAAGTTGTTTCCATGCAAATGGCCTGTCTTGGCTCAGGCTTCATATTTTCCTAAAGTCTCAAATAAGCAGCATCTGGCCTTAGTGTGCCCCATGCCTCTCACTAGAGGCCCCAAGCCTGGCACTAAGCTGGTTCTCAGCTTAGTCTCACTGGGGACATATCCAAGCTCAGCACAAGCAGCAGCCATCTGCACGTTGCTTTGCAGCTCATGTTGGGTGGCAACACAGGCAGTGGCTGACCTTGACCTGTACCTCCTGGGGGGACTCAGAGCCGGCACACCCAGTGGACAACTTCATACCACCCAACTACCTCCACAAGCAATACACTCCCAGGGTGGACTCAGCAGACACCACAGCCCTGCCAAAGTCAATCTTGCTCTGTGGGATGGATCCCTGGACAGCTGATCCTCCATGGTTGGTGGTCACAGCCAGTCCTTGTAGCTGATCAGCCTGGGGGTGTAAATCCTTCCCATTGACATGCCAACAGCAGTCAAGGCTCAACTACAACAGGAGGGTGTACATTGTCTATACATGGAGAATGGGGAGGCTGTGCCACTAGACCCTACGGAACACCTACTACAGAAGGCTACTCTAACAAGCCCAGGTGATGTAGCAACTCTACATAATACGTAGAAACAAACACAGGGAGGCAGCCAAAATGAGGAGACAAAGAAACGTGTCCCAAAGGAAAGAAAAGAACTAAACTTGACTTCTAGTCAAGGTGGCAGCTTAGGTAAACACGGCTCACTGCCTCACACAATCACATCAGAATTACATCTAAAATATAGTGCAACCATCACTCAGAACTCCCATAAATCAAGTCAAAGTCTGACAGCTATGGAATTAAAGGACTCACATTTATCCAGACTAGTAGATGGGCCTGGTCCTATATCCACATGTGGTGGGTAAAAATTTGGGAGGGATATCTTGGGAGCAAGGAGTCCTAGCCCCATAACAGGCCCCCAAACCCAGGGTTCCAGTGCCAGGAGGATAAGTCCCCAAAACTTCTGGCTACAAAACCCAGCAAAGATTAAGTCTGTGGTAGAAACTTCTGGAGTCCCAAGCAGTTCCCATTAAGGAACCCACACACAGACTTACTCAACTCACTCCTCTGAGCATCAGCACTGGGGTAGCAGCTTTAAAGGCACCAGTGGCATATAAGGAAGAACTGAAGTGTCTGGCATCAAAATGGAAGCTCAGGGACAGGTTTCTCCCAGACAGAAAGGCAGGCAGAGGCCATCCTCTCTTTTCTGTGCCCTTGCATGACAGAGCCACAGAGCTAGCAGGCAAGGGTCCATATCTGAGATTCCATCAACATGGCTAACTGTGTGCTGCACCTGGAAGATCCCCTGAGACTTCATCCCACCCAACTTATGGGCCCAATCCCAGCAGTTAACCTTGACTTTTCTAAATGAATGGCTGGTCTTGGCTTGTGCCCTACAACTTCCTAAATCCTATCAAACAAGAAACAGCTGGCCTCAGTGAGCACCTGGCCTCTGTACTTCTTCCTAAGTGGGCCCCAAGCCCAGCACTAGCAGCAGCCAGACTAGATTCATAGCTTGGCTTCTGGGAATCCCAATCCCAGCACAAGTAGCCATCTCAGATTGCTTTATAGCTCAGGTAGGGTGGCCCTGGGCAAAACACAGGTGAGGACTGACCTTGGCCTGTACCACCTGGGAAACCCCAAAACCTGTATACCCAGTGGACAGCTACAGACTACGTCAGAGCACCACCACTTTGCCCCTGCTCAGCTGATCTTCCACAGAGGGTGGAGGTTGGTCAGTGGTCACAGCCAGTCCTTGCAGCTGACGGGCCTGGGTAAATGCCTCCCATTGACCTGCCAACAGCATTCAAGACCCAACTGAAAGAGGAGGGGGTACTCAGCCTGCACAAAAGGTGCACCTTGAGTACCCAGCTTGGGTGACATGGGAGACTGTGCCACTGGACCCTACAGGACACCTACTACAATAAGCCACACACTACCAAGACAGGGAGTCATAGCAGCTCTGTCTAAAACTTAAAAACAAACACAAGGAGGCTGCCAGAATGAGAAGACAAAGCAACATGGCCCAAATGAAAGAGCAGATCACAACTCCAGAAAAAGAGCTAAACAAAATGGAAATAAGCAATCTATCAGATGCAGAATTCAAAACACTGGTTATAAGGAACTTAGAACCTCAACAGCATAAAAAGATCTACTCAGAAATGAAGGATACACTAAAATTAAAAAAACAGTTTACAGGGAACAATAGTAGAATTGATGACGCTGAAATCAAATCAACTGGTTTGAAATATAGGAAGCAAAAAACAACCAATCAGAACACCAAGAAGAAAAAACAAAAAATGAGGATAGTGTAAGCATCCTCTGGGATAACTTCAAGCATTCCAACATTCACCTCATAGGGGTGCCAGAAGGAGAAGAGAAAGAGCAAGAAATTGGAAATCTATATGAAAAAAATAAAGAAACCTTCCCTAATTTGGTGAAGAAATAGACATGAAAGTCCAGGGAACACAGAGAGCCCCAAACAAGATGGATAGAAAGAGGACCACTCCAAGACACATCATCAGTAAAATGCCACAGGTGAAAGATAAAGAGAGAATCTTAAACACAACAAGAGAAAAGCATTTGTTTACCAACAGGGGAGTTCCCATAAGACTGTCAGCTGATTTCTGAAAAGAAACTTTGCAGGCAGAAGGGACTGGCAAGAAATACTCAAAATCATGAAAAGCAGGTACCTACAGACTAGGTTGCTCTACTCAGCATTTGGATTTGAAGGGCAGATAAAGAGCTTCCCAGACAAGAAAAAAACAAAAGGAGTTCATCATCACCAAACTGTTATTATATGAAATGTTAAAGGGACTTATTTAAGAAAAAGAAGATGGCCCTGGCTGGTGTAGCTCAGTGGATTGAGCGTGGGCTGTGAACCAAAGGGTTCCCAGTTTGATTCCCAGTGGGGGGGCCACATGAGAGGCAGCCACACATTGATGTTTCTCTTTCTCTCTTTCTCCCTCCCTTCCCCTCTCTCTAAAAATAAATCAATAAAATCTTTAAAAAATGATTGAAACTATGAACAATACATATTTATCAATAGTTGAGTCTAAAAAACCAACTAAGCAAATAAGAAGAACAGAGACAGAATTGTGGATATGGACATTTTGATGGTTGCCAGATGGGAGGGGTCGTGGGGGGTTGGTGAAGAGGTGAATGGATTAAGTACAGATAGGTAATTACAGAGTAGCCATGGGGATGTAAAGTACAGTACAGGAAATGGAGTAACCAAAGAACTCACACACATGACCCTTGGAGGTGAACAATGGTGCAAGGATTGCCTGAGGGAGTGGGAGGTGCTGGGTGGAAGGAGGCAAAGGGGGAAAAATTGGGACAACTTTAATAGCATGATCAATAAAATATAATTTTTTTAAAAAGAGCCAAACAAATGGAGACAAGCAATCTACTAGATGCAGAGTTCAAAACATTAGTTATGGGTATGCTCAGTGACTTAGAACTTCAACAAAGATGTAGGAAACATAAAAATGGATATAGAAAACACAAAAAAGAACCAGTCATAAATGAAGAATACCTTAAGTGAAAGATACAAAGAATAAACAATGGAGTAAGTGAACCAGAGGGTCAAATCAGAGATTTGGAATATAAGGAAGCAAAAAACACCCAATTAGAAAAGAAAAAAGAATCCAATCCCCCAAAAATGATAATGTAAGGAGCATCCAGGACCACTTCAAGTAATCAACTTCATAATCATGGGGGTGCCGGAAGGAGAACACACAGAGCAAGAAATTGAAAACCTATTTGAAAAAACAATGACAGAAAGCTTTTTTTTAACCTGGTGAGGGAAATAGACATGCAGGTTCAGGAACCACAGTCTCAAGAGAAACCCAAGAAGGCCCACACCAAGACACGTGAGAATTAAAATGCAAAAGGTCAAAGACAAAAAGAATCTTAAAAGCATCAAGAGAAAAGCAATCATTGTATGTTTTCAGACCATCTAGGTTTTAGAGGAGGAAAATAGGGAAAAAAATTTTGAAGCAAAAAATGTGGTAAAATATTTAATAACATAAATAACATAATATTTCACCAATGTAAATATAAACAGAACTCAACAGCAGCATTAACAACCATTATTCCTCCCAAATTGGGGGAGGGGGGTGCGTCTTATAGTTGAAAAAATATGGTAGTTACCTACAAGGGGATTCCCAAAGACTCTCAGCTGATTTCTCAACAGAAACTTTGCAGAGCAGAAGGGATTGACAAGAAATACCCAAAGTGATGAAAAGAAAGGACCTACAACCAAGATTACCCAGGAAAGCTATCATTTAGAATTGAAGGACAGATACAGAGCTTCCCAGACAAGAAAAAGCTAAAGGAGTTCATCAACACCATACCAGCATTACATGAAATGTTAAAGAGTCTTTTTAAGAAGACAAGAAGAGATAAAAATACAAACGATAAAATAGTGAAAATACATATTCGTCAACAATTGAGTCAAAAAACAAAGGAAAAAGCAAAACAGAAACGGACTCATAGATGCAGAGAACATTTTGACAGTTGCCAAATGGGAGTTGGGTTGGGGAGATGGGTGTGAAGGGTGAAGGGATTAAGAAGTATAACTTGGCCATGGCTGGTGTAGCTCAGTGGATTGAGTGCAGGCCTGTGAGCCAGAGGGTTCCTGGTTCGATTCCGAGTCAAAGGCACATGCCTGGGTTGCGGGCTAAGTACCCAGCTAGGGGCGTGGGAGGAGCAACCACACATTGATATTTCTCTTCTCTCTCTCCCTCCCTTCCCCTCTCTAAAAATAAATAAATAAAATCTTTAAAAAAACAAGTATAAATTGGTTGTTACGTCATGGGTATGTAAAGTGCAACATAGGGAATATAGTTAATACTATTCTAATTATGTATCATCTCACATAGATACAAGATTTCTAGGTAACATAAGGTCTAATCAGTGGGGTGTACACCTGAAACTAGTATTGTATGTCAATTGTAATTGAAAAACTAAAAATGATTTTAGTAACTGTTTTGAGCAATGTACATAAGGGGAATTAAGGAAGCCTTAAGTGTTGTAGAGGGTAGGTACCGCATTCTTCATTCATTCCAGGTACAGCCTATCCAGGAGACATTTTCCCATGTCACCTTACTCTAGGTTTTCATCAGCATTTGTATCCAACCTACCAAAATACACAAATTCAAAACAAATAATGCTGAACACTAGTGCTAAGTTTTATGCCTTTGATAAGGACACATAAAGAAATAGAGTCTGTATGTAGCCCTGGCCAGTGTAGCCCAGTTGGTTGGAGCATTATCCTGTAAACAGAAGGTCACAGGGTTTGATTCCTGGCCAGGGCACATACCTAGATTGCAGGTTCGATCCCTGGTCAGTGCATACAATAGGCAGTCAATCAGTGTTTCTCTCACATGGACGTTTCTCTCCCTCTCTCTCTCTCCCCCTCCCTTCCCCTCTCTAATCATGTCCTTGGCTGAGGATTAAATAAGGAAATAGATAAATAAAATAATGATTGGATGTTGACTTAAAATAAAAAAAAGGAAATACAGGCAGTAGCTTGCCACAAGGGAGGCAGTTCTGAATCGGAGACTGTTTTCTGATCAGCATCTCACCGCTGACCTGCTTCATGACCTTGAGCTAGTCATTGAACCTCTCTCGTAATTTGCCCATCTGCCCAAAGTTCTTATGGTGATACATGGCTTGAAACCTGTGAAGGATGTTTAAAAACCACAGTGGCCTCTTTAAGTGTTTTTAAATTAAGTTGATTATTTCCTTAAAATGTGGTATGTCCAAACCATTGGCAGCGTTGTTGGTCACGGGGCAGTTCCGTGACCTGATTTTTGAAGGCCGTAAACAACTCTAACTCAGAAATTGAAGCTCCTTATTGTATCAAAAAGAAGAAACGGAGATGGGTAAGAGGGGTTCGATACGATCTAAAGACAAAATTGTCAAAATGGAAAGAAGAAAATTAGACACAGTCTTGGCTGGTGTGGCTCAATGGATTGAGCTCCGGCCTGCAAACCAAAGGGTCATTGGTTCAATTCCCAGCCAGGGCTCATGCCTGCCTGGGTTGCAGGCCAGGCCCCCAGTAGGGGGTGTGCAAGAGGAAGCCACACATTGATGTTTCTCTTCCTCTCTCCCTTTCTGTCTAAATAAATAAATAAAATCTTTTTAAAAAGAAAAGAAAATTAGATTCAATAATAGGAACAGGGTGGCAAAAGAGAGCCTTTGAATATGTGAGATCCACCCTACAATCAAAAACACAGCATGATCCCTGACTAGTGTGGCTCAGTGGGTTGAGTGTTGTCCCCAAAACTGAAAAGTGGCCAGTTCGATTCCTGCTTAGAGCACATGCCTGGATTGGGCACAGGCCAGGCTCCCCAGTTCAGGGTGTGGGAGAGGAACCAATCAATATTTCTCTCAGACCTGGATGTTTCTCTCCCTGTTTTTCTCCCTCCCTTCCCCCTCTCTAAAAATAAATAAGTAAATAAATAAATAAAATCTTGTTTTAAAAACAGAGTATGGAAAAATATTTTTTAAATCCCATTTTCCTTTTGCAACCAGATAGCATTCAGAAAAGGTGCTAAGAGCCCTGGTCTGGCTTGTTGTGCTGGTTATTAGAGAAGAAGGAGCACCTTAGAGAAAGGGGTGGGGTTTCTACAGTGTTTACAAGTGTAAGCAGAAAGGCAAGTGGATCTGACCTTGTGTGTCTTTGTCCTATAAGCCACTGCAGGTGTTTGAGCAGCTCTGCTTCTGCAACAAAAGCCTAGACTCACCACATCTTGGGACGAGAATGGCCACTTCCCGGGGGGCAGCCTTTTTCATGCTGGTGGCATCCTGTGTGTGCAGCACCGTCTTCCACGGAGGCCAGCCGACTTGGTTTGAAGGTGTCTTCCTGTCTTCCATGTGCCCCCTCAATGTCAGTGCCAGCACCTTTTATGGGATTATGTTTGATGCAGGCAGCACTGGAACACGAATTCATGTTTACACCTTTGTGCAGAAAATACCAGGTAAGTAAAACTGGTACCCTCATCAGAGGAGATAAGTCCATATTCTTGCATCTCCTCCCAGAAACAAATATGCTGAGGGTGTGTGATGTGAATTACAGAGTCTTATAGCTACTGAATGTCTTTCTTAAGAGGACATTTTGGAATGTAACTGAGTACATATGGTTCAATTCAGTGTGGAATTAGGAAATCTGGGCTGCCTGTGGTTTGAAACCCACATGTCCAAGAAGCATAGCTGTAATTTGTCTTTCCTTTTCTCTAAAGGTGGTTGTACTTCAGGGTGCAGAATATTGAGGGTATTGGGAGTAGCCTTGATGAGAAGGATCACTACCATCCTTGGAGAAGGGGAGGGAGGGACCTTGAAGATTAATTTTTTTTAATGTCCTGTGTTCTCTCTTCAAGTTATATAGAGAGCCTAGGGGAAGGAGTAGGAAGTAGGCGTCCACCAGAGAAATGAGAGGGGACGCTCGAGGGTTGTCTGTCACCCTCTGTCCTCTTGCTCAATACTCCCACAGGCCATTCCTCAGAGGCAGGAGCACCTGGAATAGCTCGGGGAATAGCAGGTCAGTCCTAGTAGGTCAAACGACAGAGCCTGGTATCAGAAGCAGCCTAACTTGGTAATCAGCCATCTCTCTTCTGTTTTAATCTATGGACAAAATAGGACAACTTCCAGTTCTGGAAGGAGAAATTTTTGATTCTGTGAAGCCAGGCCTTTCTGCTTTTGTAGATCAACCTAAACAGGTAAGTGTTTACAGTTACAGTTGGATGTTCATGTTCTCAGTGCCTTGATAACTTCACCACACCACTGTTGTTAAATATCTCATGCTGTTCACTACTGATACTGAGGTTAGGTGTGAGATCGGTTTTCTCCCCTTTGCTCATCTGGACGACAGTACCCACGTGCCCTGCTCTCAGTAGGGCATTGGTGGAAGGAGGCTAGAATAGATGGTGGCCATGCAGGGGTGACACCATCTCTTGAGATTGCTCTCTTCGCATTTACTGTTCCAAGATTTTGAGCTGAAGCCTTCAGCTGCATTGATTAATGCAGGTGCAGGAGATGGTCACAAAGTTCTCCAGGGTGTGAGGTGTAAACCATTGAGGGAATGTTGACCCAGTGAACTCCATTTCAAGGTGCCTTGCTGTAGGACAGAACCATTCCTGTACTCAAGAAATTGGGCAAGAACACATGAGGGGGAAATTTTTGGCAATAGAGGATGGAGAGTTCACCTTGACTGCGTTTCACACTGGAGCACCCACAGCATACAATGCTCAAGTGTCAGAGACCACATTAAAATAGAATACAGCAGAATGTTGATCTTTGGTAGCAGGTGTAAGGTACTGTTCATTAACCAAAGGAAAACCCGATGTTAAAAATGGGTTGAACTTGAAGAACTGAGAGGATGTTTATTTTCTCTGCTCACTGTTTTAAAATGGCAAATGTGCTAGAAAACTAGCAGCAAGCAACTGCATTATCGGGAACTGATTTGCCATTTAGAGGAGAAGATTGTCTTATGGTTGCTGTTATTAATTATAATGATCAAGAGACAGCATGTTGTCAGAATAAGTGTTTACTCAGGGAAACTGGATTTAAAATAATGGTTTTGAATTAATTGTAAATTGAACATTTACTGTGTACCATTCGTGTAGGTGCTGGTGATGCAAAAATGAAACTCATATTCTGTCCTTATGGAAATCATAAAAAATGTGGCATAATAACAACTACAGCTGGCATTTGTGTGGAAACTGCACACAGTCCGCCTCATCTAATGCACACTGCAGTTTGTGGTGGTACAGGGCCTATCTCCCATCTCACAGCTGAGGGAGCCCAGCCTCAGGAAGCCCCTGTGCTGGGCCACAGAGTTAGCAAGCAAGTCTGCTAACTCCTAATCCTGCCTTTCCTTCACTATACTCAACTTTCTGGCCTGATGCTAATTTATATGAAACACAAAATAACAATCAATTAAAGTGACCACACTGTAAAAGAATCATTTGTATTATTAACCAAAGTGAAATGGATTCTCCTTCAAAGAAGCCCCCTTCTCTAGGTCTCTGCAGAGCAGAGAGGTAGCCCTCTGCCCCCTCACTCCTGTTCCTCCCCCAGAGTGCGATGAGGGCGTGCACAGTGCCCCCTATGGCCCGTTCACTGGATGAGTGGCTCGTCTCTTTTTGAAGGGTGCTGCGACTGTTCAAGAACTCTTAGAGGTGGCCAAAGACTCAGTCCCCCGAAGTCACTGGAAAAGGACCCCAGTGGTCTTGAAGGCAACAGCGGGACTGCGCTTACTGCCAGAAGAGAAAGCCCAGGCTCTGCTCTTTGAGGTAATTTTTGAAATCTTCATCTTAAATAATTCTTTTCCCCTATACAGATATATTTTTTTGTAGATTTAAAGCCCTCTGGAGTCTTACGTGACCAGTACTATTCCGCCATGGCTGAAGCATTATGGTGACCCTGGGCTCTTGTGTAGAGAATGTCTTGCATACAATTGAATGTATCCATTTTAAGCGCACAGTTAAATGAGTGTTGACAAATACAGACATTCCCTTGTGCCCCTTTGTAGTCGGTTTCTTCTCCCATAGAACCAGGCAACCAGCGATCTGCTTTATGTCATTGTGGATTGGTTTTGCTGATTGGTACATTTCATACAAGTGGAATAATATGGTTTATATTCTCTTTTTTGTGTGTCTGACTTTTTTTCTCAGTATAAAGGATTGAGAAGAATCATGGAATTGTGAAGTATGAATGATTTTTTAAAGATAATCTATCTCTCAGGTCAAAACTAAGTACAAAATAACTTCAGATTTTAAAAATTCAATATTTTTAACATTGTGCTTTTTATTATGCAAAAATATGTAAATTAATACAGTTAGTAAGATTTAATATTGTGAAGAATATGTGTGGAATCCCATTATCACAGTAAAAGGTTTTTTATTACAGGTGTGTTAAATCTTGTAACTCCATTCTTCTTTGACTGACAGCACAGAGGGCTGAAGTCCAAGGGCAAACTGCCCAGAATCTCTTCATGAGATTCTGAATCTCAATTCCTCATTCATTCATTTATTCACACGTTTATTCATTATACGAGTGCTTCACTGTGTACTGGGCACTGGTGAAGTTCCTGGGAACATAGATCAGGGAATGAAAATGATACCTCATGGAACTAACATTCTGGATGCCAAGACAAGCAACAGTCCATACAAAGTATGTCAGGTTCTTTAGAAAAATAAAAGCAGAGTGAGGCAGATAGGGAATGCTGGTGGGAGAGTGGGGGAAGTGCTGTTTTAAATAGAGTGGTCAGGGAAGACCTCATTGATGAGATGCCTTTGGTCAGAGATCTGAAGGGAATGCAGAAACAAGCCATGTAAAACGTTTGTGGGTAGAATATTCCAGGCTAAAGAAACAGGTGCAAAGGCCTAAAGCAGGAGTGTCCTTGGTGTGTTCGAGGAACAGCACCCAGGTTAATGTGGCAGGAGGAGAGTGAATTTATGGGAGGGAGGAAGTAAGAGATGAGGTCAGAGAGGTGGGAAGGGTTTATCATGTAGGATGTCAAAGGCCAGCGTAAGAACTTTGGCTTTTTCTCTAAGAAGCCGCTTGAGGGTGTTGAGCTATGGAGAGACATGATCCGATATCTGTTTTTAAAGCATCCCTCTGGCTGCTGTATTGAGAATAAGCTGTGGCAAAGGCATGGAGTGGAGAGGGCAAGAGCAGAAACTCTATGTTTATTCCTGTTTGCTTACTTATTGTTTTAAATGTTTGTTTATGGATCACTTAACTGACTGTTCCTGTTTAAAACAGGAATCCAAGAGGGTCCAGAGGTCACGGCATGAAGTGTTTTGTCCTATCAGAATTGAAAACAGCCAGCAGACTAGAATTTTTCTTATTCCTGTTTGGAAATGGCCCTGCCCCACAAGATAATCATATAAAAATGAGACATAACGCCCATACCATTGACCTGTATTTACGGAGAGCCAAGAGCATTTGTGTAGGATCTTCATTTTCATGTTCTAAAATAGGGTAAATAAATCTAAATCTGGGGTCTGTCTAAACTCTTTTGAGGCCCCAGCTGTGTGCCAGGATTTGACAGGGGCTGACCGCAGAGGACTGAAGCCTGGGGACCTGAGATCCTTTACTAGGAAGGAAAAAAGCTGTAGAATTTGGCAGGAGAGCAGAAACTTCTCTGTAGCCTCAAGACCCACCCAGGCCGAACTCTTCTCTACTCTCCTATTTTATCAGCTCATCGGAGAAATGCAATGAGAAGGGGTCCTCCTAGAATTATCCAGGTAGAATTAATCGGGTGTTTTTAAAAATTGCAGGATCCTGATCGAGCTGGCAGGGTCGAATGTATGCCCTTTCCTAGGTCCAGTTCACCTGTAAATGTAGGTGGTTTGGTCGTGATTTATTTAAAGTCAAGGGAATCCCTGTATTTTGTTTTTACAAGAAACCAGCAATTGCCCTGGCTGGTGTAGCTCAGTGGATTGAGCGCGGGCCTGTGAACCACATGATCGTGGTTTGATTCCCAGTCAGGGCGCATATCTGGGTTGCAGGCCAGTTCCCAGTAGGGGACTCCTGAAAGGCAACCATACATTGATATTTCTCTCCTTCTCTCCTCCCCTTCCCCTCTAAAAATAAAAATATAAAATCTTAAAAAAAAAGAAACCAACAATAACTTGCATAGTTCCTTCTCTAGTTTCTTCAGGGAAAAGGAATGAGTTCTGCTAAGATTTTATTTAGGGAAAATAAAGAGAGTATTTTCTAAGCCTTTTAGGATACAGCTAAAATATGGAAATCTATTTAACTGCCTTGGGGAATTCATATTTTTTCTCTTTTTCTCTAGGTAAAAGAGATCTTCAAGAAGTCTCCTTTCCTGGTACCAGATGACAGTGTTAGCATCATGGACGGATCCTATGAAGGTGGAGAGGTGTTGATATATGCTCTAGGGGGAGAAGGCCAGGGTTCATAAAAGGTCTGACTGCAGGAACTGGGACCGAGGGTGGGGGTGCTGAAGAAAGAGGAGCTGCGGAGGAGCGAGTAAGCAAGCAAGCGCAGAGGACTGAAGCAGCAGGAAGTGGAAGGAGGGAGAGAAGGGATGTGTGTGCTTTATGCATGAAATTTAGAGAGAAAAAGAACAAAGATGGGGCCGGGAAGAGGCGGGAGATGCTCTGGGATGTAATCCTTGTTTCTCTCTTTTTTAGGCATCTTAGCTTGGATCACTGTGAATTTTCTAACAGGTAATAATACATTCTCAAGTTTTTCGTAAGCTCTTGACTAGGTTATACACATGGTCAGAGAGCAAAATTATCTTTCTTTTTTCCTGTATTGTTCTTTTCTTCTGTGAAAAGTGGAGAGACAGGAAGTTAGTGTTTGTGACCTGCCTTTAAGGCCTCAGCTGCAGCAAGAGCCCTTCCAGGTTAGCGCCCCCTGCAGTCCGGGGGTGGAGAGCAGGGCAGTGTTCATGGAGCTCCTCCAGAGCAGGAGGGACGCTGTGGGCAGAGGCGCGTTGAGCTGTGCAGGAAGCAGAAGATGTTCAAACTGGCTTTCCTTCACAGGTCAGCTGCATGGTCACAGCCAGGACACTGTCGGGACCCTGGACCTGGGGGGGGCCTCCACTCAAATCACGTTCCTACCCCAGTTTCAGGTGAGTCATTAAAGCAGGAAGATTTTGTTAGCAACTCACTTGGCAGGCCTGGTGCTAAGAAAATGGTGCTCTATTTTTAAACAACAGCTACACCACAGATAGGCTGAGTAGAGTCAGTTAATAACAGTGTGAACTCTTCTTTGCCATGGTTCAGAGTCCCTTTGGTTCCCCAGGCCATACGAGGTTAGCAGTTTAATCTGTGTCCTTCATCTCTGGTGTTTGGGAGGAGGGGCACGGATGACGGTGGTGACATCCTTAGATGATCACAGATCCTAAATAGCCTTTTTGCTTTTTCTGATTTGCAGAAAACCCTGGAACAAACTCCTAGGGGCTATCTCACTTCCTTTGAGATGTTTAACAGAACTTATAAGCTCTACACACATAGGTGAGAAGAGGGGCAGGGAGGAATAATATTTTGTGTAATGTGAGTCTCCTAACTGTTCAAAGCATTTTTATGTCTGTTACTGCACCTGACAAGCCTTGCATCGTCTGCCAGTCCCCGAAAGCCTATTGTCTGAAACCCAGACCACTCACTCAGTGTCAAGGGACTCAAGGATTTCTCCATTCCTGGCCTCCAAATATACGACTTAAAGAGTAAAAAATTTTCTCTATAAAGAGGTTACTCAGAAAGTTTCAGCCGAACTCTGTGCCAACTCCATTGAGCTTGCCTTCAGATGTTCAAAATCCAGCCTAGCATTTGATCGCAGTGAGGCTGGGAGGTGAGATAATGAGAGCTTTTCTGAGGACCCTTCACTCTCTCTGGTTTTTATTTATTTATTTTTAGAGAGCAAGGAAGGGAGAGAAACATCACTGTGTGAGAGAAACATCTATCGGTTGCCTCTCTCATGTACCCTAACCAGGGACCTGGCCAACAGCCCAGGCCTGTGCCCTGACCAGGAATCTAAACCATGACCTTTTGGTCTGCGGTGCTGTGCCCAGCGCACTGAGCCATCACCAGTCAGGGCTATCTCTGCTGGCCTTTAGTCATAGCTGTGAAGAGTTCTTACTGCATGGCCTTGATCTAAACCGTGCAGAAATTACCACTTACTGTCCCTACTAGGTGAGGATGTCACAGAGAACAAAGTTTTCCTCCCTCTAGAAGGAAACAGAGAAACCATGTTATTTTTGAAAGAGGTGGCTGGAGGCTGGAGAATTTTAGGACCAGCATAGAATTAGTCAATCCTGTATTTTACAGTTACCTGGGATTTGGATTGAAAGCTGCGAGACTAGCAACTCTGGGAGCCCTGGAGACGGAAGGTTCGTCTGGGTACCTGTGTGGTTGGGGTGTGGTGAGAGTGGAACCAGCACTCAGCCGGCCTTTTCCCTCCCTTGGCAGTGCTGCTCGGGAGGAAAGAGTTACACGAACTAGGAAGCACATGTTGTGCAATTGGTGTAAAAACAGCAAATTCCTTTCCTCCTTTATAAGTTCAGATGTTTTGGTGTACATGATTAGCCATTTCTAGAGAGGTTTATTTGCATGGGGGAACAGTCTGTGGCCAGGAGGCTAAAGAACCTGCAGAAATTCAAGGCTCAAAGAGTGAATTTGGCAGACTTTGCTCAATGTCTTGGCAAGATGCAGCAAAGTCCTCTTGCAAGTGGAATAGCTGAGCAACTCCATTCATCTCTTCACAGATGGTAGAAGGATTAGGAGTTCAGCTTCTGAGGTCAGGCAGAACTGGGTTCAGTTTCAGTTTTGTGATTTGGGGCAAGTGAGCTATACCCCTTTCCTCACCTTTAGGATTTTTTGCATTTGAGGCACTTAATATGGCACCTGGCTCACAGTAAACTGTTATTGTGATGATGATTGTATAGCATTTCTGAGTTTATAAAACATCTTCAAGTGTGTTTCATTTAAGCCTCACAACAACCATGAGAAAAGTAGAACAGTAGTTTTCCCCTTTCTTTAGAAAGGAGGGGACTTATCCACGGTTTGGATTTCTTTAGGATATGACGAAAGCCACGGACCCCTCCACCAAATGCACATGTGCACAAAAATTTGCTCACAATTTCAGGGCTTCGCCAGCCCCACAAAGTCCCTGTATGAACCTCATTAAGAATTCTCATCATAGAATAGTCATGGAAACTAATTTCATGTGATTTTTAAGGCCCAGTCACCTTGGGGATTCTTTGTAGCTTTACTGGCTTCTTACTTGCCTCTGTCTCACACTCTTGCCTCTTGTTTTGTGGTCTGTTTATTTTTCAGAGACTGAGGGACACACTTTCCGAAGTGCCTGTCTACCAAGATGGTTAGAAGCAGACTGGATTTTTGGGGGCGTGAAATACCAGTATGGTGGCAACCAAGAAGGCAAGTAACATTTTTTTCACTGATTGAGATTATTTTTACAGTTGGAAGTCTGCAAAAGTTCCCCGGGAAACTTTTTCCAGAGCTCGAGAGAAACTTTCATATTGCAGGGACTCATTACAAATAGATCTTGGTATGCCTCCAAGAAATAACACGAAGTGACAGAGAACCAGGTGGCCGTCAGTCTGTGTCCCGTTCTTTCCCTGGTCCGGTGGCAGCAGACCCATTCTTACCCTGGGTCTAATGCATTCAACCTGCATCCTCAGCAGGGTGAACCTTTCAGGTTCAGTTACCGGTAAATGTTTAGCTGTTTAAATTATAGTAAAACCTAAATTTGAGATGATAGAAAGAATAATTCGCTTCAGTATTATAAAAGTCACAGACCTTAAAATCAAGGAAACTTGATTCTTCCAGTAAAGGAAGCAGGCAAACCTTCTAGCTACTTCTCATAAGTACCATGAAACAGAATGTGAGGCAGCAACTTGAGGTCTGACTGTGGCCATTCTTGGTGGACACAGATTAGGGAGGGAGCTGCCATAGAGAAGCAGGTCCTCTCCTCCAGGACGGTGAGGCCGTGGGAGCCTGCTCAGCTGTGTAAGCCCTTTGTCCCGAGTCTCGGCCTCAGCTCTCCTTGATCTCCTGCACCTTCCTCATTGGCTCCAGGAGCTTGCCTCAGAGAGGGGTCGCTTCCCCTTATTTTTCTCACTGTCCCTGTGCACCTTTGCCCTGGCAGGGGAGGTGGGCTTTGAGCCCTGCTACTCAGAAGTGCTGAGGGTGGTCCGAGGAAAACTTCACCAGCCAGATGAGATCCAGAGAAGCGCCTTCTATGCCTTCTCTTACTATTATGATCGAGCTGTTGACACACACTTGATTGGTAAGTTCATTCCAGGTGTCAGTTCAGGGAGGGCACTGGGCAAGGCTGTGTTGGGAAGGGGAGAGGGAGTATCTGAAATGCTTCTTAGAGGTGACCCCCTTTCCGTCCTGGGTGTTGAGTGAATGGAAGGGCACATATGATTGGGGACCTTTCAGAGCTAGAAAATGGCCAAAAAGTTGACGTATCTTTTTTTCCCCTTACTTTTTTTTTATTGAGGTATAATTTTGCATAAAATAAAATGCACATACTTTTTTTTATTAAAGTATAGTTGGCATGCAATATTATGTTAGTCTCAGGTGTACAGAATAGTAATTCAATGTTCGTATACCTTACAAAGTGATCACAGTGAGTCTAGGACCCATGTCACCGTACAAAGTTCTCACAGTGTCGTTGACTCTGTTCCCGTGCTGCACACTCCACCCTACGCCCATTCGTTCCATAACCGGGCGTTTGTGCCTCCGTCCCCTTCACCTTCACCGCCCATCCTTCCACCTCCCTCTCTCTCGTAACCGTCAGTTTATGTCTTATATCTGTGAGTCTTTCTGTTTTGTTTTTTAGATTCCACATACAAGTGAATTCATGTAGTATTTGTCCTCTGACTTATTTCATTTAGCATAAAAATGTACATATTTAAAGTGGACAGTTTGCTAAGTTTTGACATAAGTATACACCCATGGAATCATTACCAAATTCTATATTTAAAACCATATGTATCACCCCAAAGTTTCCTCCTCCTCCTTTATAACTTTTTTTTGCAATAGTAATGTTTTTGTTGAGCTGTAAAAATGTATGTCAGTGATCTGACATGGCCTGAGATATGAACTTATTTTCTATTTTCTAATGTATTTTTTAATGGGTCAAATTATTTACTGTGGTTAAATAAATAAAATAGAATGCAAATAAATAGACTGCATAGATTATATGAATATCATATTTGTTTATCCCATTCTTTAAGGCTGGTCATTTATTTCCTGTTTCTCTTTACTACAAATATCACTACGATTAATTGCCTCAGGTTTCTTTAACGTGTTTTGACATCAGCTGCTCTTTTGTTTTGTTGCAGACTATGAAAAGGGGGGTGTTTTAAAAGTTGAAGATTTTAGAAGAAAAGCACAGGAAGGTAAGTGTCAGTGGCAGGCCTTGAAGGAGAGTCTGCAAGGCTGTGCCTGCCAAGTCCAGTGACCGTAATGTGACCTCACACACCTCAGCCAGTAGAAGGCCTCCCAGGAGGCTGGTTCCTGTCTTTGCCAGGAGCTGAAAGCGTTAAGTGGCATAGAGAAATAGAAGAGAAGAGGTGTTAGGAAAATGGTGAAAACCCATGTGTTCTACATTTCTCTTTTGTTTTTGTTTTTTTAATTGAAATAGTGTTATCAATGTTAATGAAATACCAAGCACCAAAATACATGGGAAATAGCTAGAGAGGCTTCCTGGAGAGAGTTCATTGAAAATATAAATGAATGATCTTATCCAGTGATTCCAGAGTAATGCTAACTGGTATTTCCCTGTCCCCTGGGCCTCAGCATTAATAATATACAAGGGACATGGTTGAATTATGCCTGAAAAATAGGTCATAGAAATTTAATACATAAACTAGGGCCCATGTAAATTTGAGTCGATAAGATATAATATCAGAAATGTGCAAGTTCTTAAGAAGCTGTGGTCTTGTAGAGGCCATCAGTGCACAGTTCTAGCCTCCAAGACTCCCAGGCATCAAACAAATGGAGCATTCTGCTTTGCTTATTCCAAGTCTGTGTTTAGAGAAAATTATACACCTCTCAGTTGGCTGCAAACTTGAATTCACTCTTCACTCTCCCCTTCAGTGTGCGACAACTTAGAAAACTTCACCTCAGGCAGTCCTTTCCTGTGCATGGATCTCAGTTACATCACAGCCTTGCTGAAGGATGGCTTCGGCTTTGCAGACAGCACCGTATTACAGGCAAGAGAGTACAGCGGAGTCTCGTAACTGACTTCTTATTTGGGAGTTGGGAAGGAAGAGTTAAGAACTTGCTGGGTAATCTGAGTGGCTTTGGTGGAATTATGAGTATTTTTATTTGGGCTGCGGACAAGCACTATGCAAGGCGCTATGAACGCAGGGAATTACCTTGACGCACTGGGAGCTTCCGAGTATACTACCCGGCATGCCGTCCCAGAGGTCATAGAGCAGAAGGCTTGCAGCCCCAATTAAGATGCCCAGGTCCCATGGATTATTAACTCAATTTCAAAACTCATGGCAAGAAGCCATGAGGAAGCAATGGAATAGGTGAACAGAATGTCCTGCCTCCCTCTGCTGCTGCCAGCAGTGTGGTCTCAAGTCCTAGAACTAGAGTTTAATTAAGGGGCACAAGGGCAGGAGGAGCCTGCAGCCACCACACAAATTCCCCGTTTGGAGAGACACAGGGCCAGGTGTAATGTCTGGTAGTGTTCCCCCACTCAGCCCGCTAGCTGGTTTTACTTGGCAGAGGACACGAGGGACCAGACGATGTCACCAATGAGTGGCTTATGTAAGACCTCATGAATGTTGAGTGCCTTTTGTATATGTAGTGTCATATGTTTTTTATGTGCTTCACATACTGATTGTCTCTTGAATTTTGTCTTTCTCTGTCCATCTGTTCTAGAACATGAAGGCTCAACCTTATCTGTAGTAACTTATTTTTCTATTCTAACATCTATTTCATCCATCTAACTTATCTTGTCTTCAGTGCCATAATCGAATAATCGTATATTATGGTCATCAATGAAAGAATGTCTAGCATTAGAAAAAGTCTTACAAGAGTTTATTTGAGCCAAACTGACAATTACCGGGAAGCAAAATCTCAACAGACTGAGAAGATGCTCTGGAGGGTGGAAGTTTGCAGCTTATTTTATTCATTAGAATCAAAGGAGACGTGAAAGTTACATGAGAGCCATTGGTGGGAGATTAGGGAGGCAGGAGAAAGCAAAGTGGCGGGCTCTCTGAGATTGGATAAAAGTAAGACAGACACATCTTTGCCAGCGGTGGGTACAGAACAGTGAACATCTACAGCACATCAAAATGGCACGCAGGCAACAAGACAGCTGTGCGGTCTGGTCTGCTGCCGGCGGTTGTCTCTTGGAGGGGTCTGGAAAAGAAAGTTACCCTGACATTTCAAAGATATGTTACCTTAGATGCACAAAGACAATTTCAAAAGTAAAGATTGACCTCTGACAAGGAAGCTGTAGGCCTAGGACATGACTACCCACCATGACCCACTTTTAGTTAGGAATGTTTATGTTCAGACTTCCCTGTGGGGTTACTTTCCATCTCTGGGCCCATCATGCCATGCGGGCCTCCTCTGAGCTCATCGGGGTTTATGTGACCCTTTTTCACCCGCAGTCGCAGAGGTGAGTAAGATGTAATATTTGTCCTCAAACATCACGTAGTCTATTAGAAGGCAACGGCACGAGGCAGTGCTGACTTTGTGATCGAGTAAGTAGACTGGACTGGTTTTGAGCGCCTCCCCCACCTTTCTTGGTGCCACTTCCCCTTCCTGTTTCTTCAGTTCCGGATGAGCTCAAATTACCCAATTTCTTGTGTTCTACAGATTTCATAAACTCATTTGTATTTGGACTTAATGTGTCTTACCTGCCAAGAACACCAGCATTTACGGCTCAGAGAGTTAATGCCAGCACACTAGCACAGCAGTATTTAGAGCGTGGGCTTTGTTGCCCATTGGACCTGGGTTCAGGGTCTGATTCTGCAAGCTTACTGGCTCGGGGACCTTGGGTAGTTTACTGCCCCTCTCTAACTTTTAGGTCCCTCAGCCAAACACAGGTATTGCCATAATATCTATTTTACAGGGCTGTTATGAATTGAGGTAATCCCTGCAAAGCACAATACCTGGTAATAGTAAAAGTTCTTAACATTGGTATTGTTAGCAGTGTAGGCATACCTCCTGAATTGGGGATAGATTTGTGGATTAGAGAGGTTATCCTGAGTCTTCAGTACATAGTACTAAGTTAACAACATTCTCTGCTTAAGCATCAACCGTAACCAAGTCATTGAAGGACAGGTTTCTGGCATTTCCAGTGCCGGCATCCTATTATTCTTTGATTTCAGTGGCTGCAAAATTTAAATCTGGGGTGGGTACTGCCCTGTCCCTGAGATAGCTTCACAGTGATCTGCAGCCCTAGGCCGTCAGCCCAGCCTCGGAGAGCATTTGGTGGGGAGCACTCCCCGTCTGATGCAGGTGTCTCAGACAAACCTCAAGGTGCCATTCTCCCCAGGTTTTGGCACAGAGACTCTACTGGATTTCCTCAGGTCCACAAAGTATTGTGTTGTAAAAACTTGTTACTAGAAAGATGGAAACCAGTTCACTGGTTTCCAAGTGTGTGTGTGTGCGCGCGTGCGCGCATGTGTTAGTATCCTTACGCTGCAGAAGCTTGTGCAGAATGTCAGTGAAACTAATAGAAGCGGCACTGTCTGGTTGAAACATAGGTGGGGGCCTGGAATTCCTTCACCATTGGCACCCACTCTCTTTGAAGCACTTCCAAGGAACCCCCAGGATTCTGAAGAAAACAATTTGATAAATGCTAATCGAATTCCCTTCTTACGTAGTTTAGGAAATGGGATCTAAAATGGGTTACTGAACTGAGGCTCATCATGGCCTAGAATGCCTTAGGTACCTTGTTCGATTAATAATTCATACTTAAACAGAAAACTACTTGAACAACAATAAAAAAATTAGTGTTTAAGAAGATGCAGTTACTTACAGAGTATGTTCCTTTGTCCCCCTAAATCTGTTCCCAACTCCTGTTATATTTAGTTTCAAGATTAGGGAAAGAGTTCAGAAGGTCCTGTCTGGAAGGCCTGAGTGAGACCACTTGCCTGGGCCCTAAGATTCGGGGGTCAGCTTGGCAGTTATAGGGCAGCAGGAGGGAAACTGGCGGAGATGGGTGGTCGGGAAGCCAACATTGGCTGCGCCCAATGCTGCCTTGATTTGGCCATGTGGATGGTCTTTGCACAGTTCTCTGCCCGTGTTGTGCTTGCTAGAATTGAACTTGAATGAAAATGTGAAGACTTTTTTTTCTCTCCCTAACAGCTCACAAAGAAAGTGAATGACATAGAGACCGGCTGGGCCTTGGGTGCCACCTTTCACTTGCTGCAGTCTCTGGGTATTTCCCACTGAGGCCAAGCCTTTGCCAACCACCTCTTCAAAGGGAGAAGGAGAGAAGACTCCGTTGTGTTCCGAGGTAATCTGGAAACCACCTGGATTGAAACCCAGCAGCTGGCTACATCAGGAGGAGGGAGCTTTTATGGACAGGTCTCGAGATTTGAGCTTAATTAATTTTACACATCTACTATGAATTGTTATGTAACCATTCTGCTTGTACGGCTGGTACCAGAGTCTAAATCTTTGAGCATGCTTGTGCTTCCCAGAGAGCCAAAATGAGTAGCTTTGGAACTTAACCTTGGAGAAACCAGGGACTCACTTCAACCCTTTGAGTGCCTCATTTCTTTGAACATTTTCATTTTCCTCTTACATGCTGAACTCAGCTGACTGATTGCATTCCCATGGCCTATCAACACCAGTATTTTTTCCCTCCCTGCACATTGCCCTGTCCCACCCTTATCACACCCCCTTCCTACGAGAGGAGAAAAATCTGGCTTGGCTTTTCATGTTAATTCAAGGGGAAAGTAAGTTACCACCTCTGAGGTTGTGTGGTCCTGCTTTGTACTAGTTCCAATCAGCCAGCTGAGAGCCATCCTGACTCTTTGGAGGATGGAAAGCAACTTCTGCCTGCTTGGATTCCAGCCTTAAGAAAGGAGGCCACCCAGTCTCTGAGGACGGTTTCAGAGGGTGTGGCTGCCTGGCAGAGGCCACCTTCTTTTAATCGGTTTTTTATAAGTTAACTGTGGGATTAATGAACACACCCAGCCTTACAGGAGTATGTGTTCAGTGCCAGAGCCTCCTTCCAGGCTGTGTTTGTCATCCTAGACTTTTTTTTTTGTATTTCTAAGAAATACATCTATACCCTAGCTTTGGTCTGTGGTCAGAGGCCTCTGGCTGTGCCGTTCAGGGATCTGTATTTTGATTACAGCTCCTTTCAGTTTTTTTATTCTGCTTATAGCAGTATCTCCTCCTGCCTGGCCCTGGGTCGTTTTAGTTAACATCTAAATTATTTCTCTAGTTCCAGGGTTTCTGATACCCTTTCTCAGTGATAACCTAACATTTGGTTTGGTTGGCCATTTCAGTTTGAATGCTCTGAGCTCTTCATTTTGTGAATTATTTTCCACAAAATCCATTATCTTGTACTTCCCCACATGACCATCACCTGCTCGCCTACCCACCTGAGTGCTCTTGGGCTTTAAAGATCTTCCTGGGGACTGGCTCATTCATCGTGGCCCTTTACCCGCAGCCGCTTCCCGGCGGGCACTGGATCTCCCACACTTGGAGCCTCCGCAGCGCCCGTCCTCCCCTCTCACAGGATGCTCAGTACCTGGCCTTCACACGAGTTGCTGGGAACCTTATTTTTTAAGTTTTTCCACTGAGTCAACAAATATTTAACATCTGATGTGCAACTAACTAGGCAAATTTCTGTATCCTCCTCCCCCAAATTTTAGTTTTTAAAATTCAATGTGGAATTTCTTCACTTTTCACACTTTCATTATACCAAGGTCCCCTTTATACCTATTGTCTTCCTCAAAAAATGTTAATACATAATGAAATAGAATCTTTAGAGTTGGAAACAGCCTCAAGATACAATCCAGTATTCTAAGTATTGCAGAATTCCTGTAACATCTCTAGCTGGTTCAGCTTCTGGTTAGGTGTATTTTGGAGCAGCTCAGTCCATCTGGCACCACACTGGTGGTACAAAAACCCCCCTACACTGAGCTGGACTTGCCTTCTCAGTGGTCTTCTCGAATCCCTCCTTTCACAGCTGTTGAATCTTTTGAAGAAAATTTCTCCAAGTACTTTGTGGCCTCTTTGATTTAACACATGGCTCCTAGACCCCTTACCTTTTTTGTCACAAAGGCAGAGGGCTAGAACCAGTTACATGCTACATACTGTTCCCCATGAGTAGGGAGCGACCAGTTTCTCTAATGGAAACCGAGCTGTTTTCCCAAGAGGTCAGCTGTGTTCACCAAAAACACCTGCAGCTTGGTGAGTCCCTGGTCGTCGTCACATTTTTTTTCCTCTGAAGCTTGTCTCATCAACACAGGCTGCTTAGACTTCTTTGGTCATTCCAGGTACTTTCAGAATTCTTGGACAGATGCATTAACTTCAGAAATGTATCTACATATATTCTGAAGCCTTGAGTAGAGCACTTGGAGAATTAACCAGTTTATCCATTTTAGAACCAATTTAGAATAAGAATTTTTATTTCTTAAGAGAAAATGACTTCTCTATGTCCTTTCTGCCCCTTAATGTACCTTTTGGACCTCTTACTAAGTAATCCTGTCGTGTCCGATATTGCTGGTTAAGTTTTTCTGTGTGTTTATGTGTTTCGGGTCCTTAGGACGTGGCCTGGCACGTAGATGTGTTTTTCGTCGTCCTCATGTGAAGGGCATCCTGTGTAGGTTATGGAGGTCCTTGCAAGGTGTGCCTTACAGTTCTTCCTATCTTGCCTGATTTTATTAGCATACTTTTGGAGAGTTCATGTTCTCCTTACCTGGGTAACCTTTCAGTTTTTTTGGAAGATGGCCCTTTTTCCCCCTGTAGATGACCTGTCTAGACTCTACTAGTAGTCACGGGACTTTCACAGCAGTTGCCACCTTCGATTCTAGGAATATTTTTCCTGAGACTCCAGGAATGTTTGTGACATTGTCACTTTTTTACTCTAGTATCTTATAAATTTTCTACATTTGTCTGAAAAACTCCCCTGTAAACTGTTTCTTCTCATTTCATCATCAAAGCAGACTTTTGGGCAAAATGTTCTTTACTGTATAGGAAGCTAATGGATCTAAACATCTCTTCAAGAGGCCTCTCTGGTACTGTGAAGCAGGCCTTCTCAAATACCCTGGCGCCCCCAGCAGCCCCCAGTCTGAAAGCAAATGAACAAATTCTGCTGCTAAGTAGATTTTCCCTTTTGATGTGGTTCCTGACTCCAGTCTTCAAACTGTGCAGTGAAATTACTGTTTTATTACTTGACAGACGGAGTCCCAGAGAGGAACCACAAATAAAACAGATCTGGTGCCGGGATACGGAAGTAATAATGAGCATTAGTAAGATCTGGTTTTCTTTTCAGAAAGTCCAGTGCGCCTATAATAAAGGTTAAAGCAATTTGTTAATTTTAAAACAGCAATTCTCACAAACATGCATAAATTGAATATTTCTAACTCTTTATGAAAAGAATTGTATAAATTTGTGACCAGCATTTTCAAAAAAACTGTATAAATCTTTAGATTGTTAACAAATAAAAATGAATGATATAGCACCATAACAATTTGTTTTAGTAATAAAAAGCTCTTTTCAACAAAAATCATAATAGTTTTTCTTGGCTTGATTTTATATGCCCTCCTCACAGCAAACTACCACTCATTGCTGGGACTCCATGGGCCCGTGAAATAAGGGAGAAAAAGAGACTAGAGAATACTAATAATAAAAAGTAAATTTATTAAATTAAATCTTGAAACTATGTGATGCCTTTGGGAAAAGTATTCATTGCTCTTCAACATAACGTCCAGGAGAGGAGCATTCATCTGCTTGCAAAGGCCATAATCTGCTCCTAAAGGGAAATGAAAGGAAGTGAGTGATCCTCTGGCACTGGAAGGTGTGCGGGCAGGAGGAGAAAACACTTGCAAGTGTCCAAAGTGGTAAAGTCAGTACAAGTCCCAGGTAGATGCTTTTCCTGAGAGTCCCTCCAAAATGTCTTTAAATGGGTATTTCTCCGGGGGAAAAAGGCTGACCAAGCAGCCAAAGGGGTTGAAACATCTTTACCTTTGAAAGTGTCTATGTATTATTTTAAACCCTTCCTTATACTACATAAAGTTACTACTTAGATGGGCCCTCCCACCGACAGGCCCACCAGAGACTTTTTTGCTCATAACCACTGGGGAAGATACAAGAACTTTATAGCCAAGAAACCAAATCAGGTCTCGGCGAAGTCATCCTCAGTGAGTGACTCAGCCTCTCAGGGAGCCGTGCTTGACCGCTTACTTTGAGTGGCGCCACTGCATTCGTGGCCTGCAAGCCCCAGGTCCTGAGCAGCACAAGCGGAGCGGCACTGGTGGAATAGAGCCTCTTTAGCAGGTCAGTAGCAGCTAGAAGAGCAGTGTTGTGACGCTGTCTGTCCGTCTCATAACCTGTGAGGTGGCTCATGGAGCCTGGAGGAAAGAGGAAGGTTCCATCCGTAATCCAGTAGTGAAGTTTTTTTTCTTCTAGAAAACCACATCCATTTATGTCCTCCACTTCTGGCTACTGAGGGGCACTTCAGGGCCCTGATCCTCCCTAACTACATGACCTGTGGATACTTCCCTGAAGTGCCTGAATCCTTACCTAAGTCTTTCCCATTGAAGGCGGCAATACTGAGGTGATGGACCAAGCTAGAGACATCCCCAAAGCCCATGTTGACACCTTGTCCTGCAAGTGGATGGACTCTGTGGGCTGCATCCCTAAGAACAAATCAGAGTTTAGGTGTGGCTTCCGGCAACTGAGTGAGGGGGAGTAGCCCTGCCCTGCTCTGATCTTACCCAATGAGTGCCAGCCGAGGCCGGACGTACTCAGCAGCATGTCCCAGCCCAAGAGGAAACTGTACTCGGCTTTTGGCGTCCACCCTGGCTACACTAGGAGGCAGCTGACGAGCTGAGACCTTGGTGGGCTTCAGAAAAGCAACAGCATACTGCAGCACGGTGCTGGCCGAGTCGATGAGGTCCGTGTGGTTAGCATCACTCCACTGAGTAGTGTCAGCCACAAAACAATGGGAAACTGTCAGTGACTGGCAGGGAATTAAAGATTCAACAAGGGTAATGGCACCTAACGTGCCTAAAATGATCTGAACCACAAGTGACAAATGCCTCAAATACATGCAAAACACAGCTTCCCAGCACTCCACGTGGGTCAAGTCAAACTGCTCCTGAGCTGCCCCTGCCTGCCTCTGAGCTTGACCTTTCACTAGTCCCCACCGCCAACCTGCACTAGCCACAGTGTATGTATAGCTCATCCTATGACATCCTCTAACCTCCGACACACTCCTCTGCTTAGAATGTCCTCCCACTTCTACTTCACCAGCATCTCACCAGAGGCTGTCAGCTCTTTTTGTAAAGCCCCCTCTGAACTCCTGTGGGTGTTCACCTCACACTTCTACCACTGTACCGAAATCAGCACGTACTCTTCTCCTCGTGACTACACGCTTCTTAAAAGTGGGGACTGTGTCTTGTCTATCTCTAGACCCGTTTGCATAGAAGGCATTCATAATTATTGCTAAATGAATGTACTGCAAAGGCCTGTGCCAGGGTTATATGCTGAGTGACCCACAGGAGGGTACCATTTATCTTGGAAGCCACAGCAGTGCGTTCAGTCCCTTTCATTATTGCTACTACCGAGCAGTGAAGCTCTTCAGTGTGAAGTCATGAGTGAGGTGGCAGAGTTTGCTGGTTCAAACCACAGGCTTCAGGGCCAGCCTCATCTCAGATCCCAGCTTTGCACTAGATGTGTGACCTGGGGCAAGTTACCTATCTCTGAATGAGCGACGTTAATAGTACCTACCTCAAAGGGTCACAGACTTAAATACAAAAACACAAGTGAAACTCTTCACCGGTGCCGGACACATATTACGTGCTCAATAAATGTTACCAATTTACTACTGATAGTAAATTTAGATAAATATAGCAAACTCCAAAAATACTGTGCCATATTATGTAAAAACCATATTACCAGAGAATAATCATTGTTTGTTGAGCACCTATAATATACAAGGTACATTGCAAACACTGTACCAAGTCTCTCATCTCAAGTCTTTAGACTTTAATTATTATTATTGACCCCTGAGAGGGCGATGAGAGTATTTCCATTGTTTGGATTACTGTTAGTACCAGTAATAAACCCATGTCTATCTAAAGCTTACTTTCAAGCTCCCTAGTGAAATGTGCTCAGCCTGTCTCCAAAACCCTTCTGATGAATTCGGCTTCAAGAGTTCAGGTACCTGAGACTTAAGAGCTGATCAAGATTATCCAAGTATTACAGCTTCAAAAAAGGCCAATGCTACCGCCAGAGTAGCCGTTTCAATTGGCGTAACAGCAACGCATGACCCTCAAAAGAGCACACAAGGCACTGATCCTCCATGGAATCCAGACCCAGCCCTCCAATGACAAAAGGGCAGCTGGCTGGCTAGTTCTTCTTCCTACTCAAGACCACCTTCCTGTGCCTACCCCTGCAACACATCACCAGGTAGACAAGCTGACACTCACGAAGGCGGAGTTGATGGCATCCACGAAGGCTTCCTCATCCATGCAGACCAGCTCTGCTGCGTGTTCATGGGACGTGGACCAAACCAAGGAACTCAAGGTGTCTGTGAGCTGCCTCAAAAGAAAAACACCAACACTAAGGGCTGAAATTTTGTTCCTGCGCACTCTCAGGCCTAAAGGTATGAAGGGGAAATAAAGCTAGCATAGGGCAATTTGCTTGAAACCCAAACAAGACAGAGAGAAAATGAAGTCCTAAAAAGAGGAAGGCCGGAGGTGTTTAAGCAGACTAGCCAGAAAGGACTTCTTACCGGGAGCAGAGCGATGGGCCCAGAGGGAAGAAATCTCTGCCAGGCTACATTGTTCTCTGTGGCCTGTCATGGAGAGAACAGGGCTGGTGAGAAGTACACGTTAAACACCGCAGGGCCCCAGACGGTGGGCTCAGGACCTCACCTCTGACAGGTGCAGAGTAGCCACCACAGCAGACTGATCGTAGTTCCAGCTAACGTTCTGGATTCCAGCAGCTTGCCGCACTGCTGAGTTGTGACCATCTGCACCGATCTGCGTGAAGAGGAGAGCCTGCTAAGTCCGACAATCTTTCAATAGCTGTAACTGTTCCAGAAGTTTGCTTCTGCCTCCTAAAGATTTCTCCAACTGCGGGCAAGCCCGTCTGTGGCCGGCCACTTTTTACCATGCCTGCCTCACTGACAGCCCCTGAAAGGGAGCCCTACACACGGGACCCCAGCCTCAGCCAATGGACTGCAGCTGGACATCTGATCCATGAGGTACCAGCCACAGGTTAAAGAAACTCAGCCAAGTCCTCTTGCCATTTGAGCTAGAAAGCAACAGGCAGGCTTAGAGCTGAACAGTCCTGTTGGGAGGTGAGGAATGGCTGCCGGGGAAGGGGGAAGCTGATGAGGAAAGGAAAACATGGAAGAGGCAAGGAGATGAGGAACTTACAGGACTCCCGAGAGGGAGAGAACAGCCTCAATTTCTGACACTCTGGTTCCTGTCCCTGTGAGGCCAGCTGTCCTTTATTTCATGACCTAAGATGGTCCAGGAGAATGCGTCCTGTACAGGATTTACAACAAGACCATCTTAACTTGAGCTGGCTTAGTGGGTACTGGTCCTTATAACCAAAAGCTTTGCCTAAAATTAACATCAACTTTGGCTTAGGTATAAAACTAGAGGTCCCAGAATTGAGGATAAGGTGTGGACATGCAAGACCCCTGGTGAAATAAGAATCTTCAACTACCAACAGTTTGGTCTGGAGGGTGCTGCCATCACCTAGGGTAACATGGACCCAAGGGCTGGAGCCTGCCGTGGACAAGGGGTCGGGCCAGGTATAGCTGGTGGCTCTGCTCCTGTAGAGAACAGTCACTCGGTCTAGGAAGGTCAGAAGAGAGAAAACAAAGCATTAGAAAGGTGGTCCACACAGGCTGAGGAAAAACCTTAACCAAACTGAAGCATGGTCCCAGGGCAGCTATCTCTTGTCGTTTACTCCTAAACAAGAAAGTAAGATGTCAAACCAAACCAAACCAAACCAAACCAAAAAAATCCCCTCGTGATCAGTGCTACAGTCTGAAAGCTGGTAAGTGACAAAACCCAGACGGACAAACCAGTGTCAAACAGAAAGCAAGCTCTCGATGCACTGCCAGCCTTGCCCAGGCACTGCCCGCTCCGGCCCCTCCAGCTCACTCCACCCTCAGGGAGGCCACGTGTGCTCTTGCTCTTGGCAAAAACAGCGGGGAAACACCACAGGCTCAATCAGTTTCATGAGATTTTTCTTCCCACTTACCTGATCATAAAAAAGACGCACTCACTGTGAAAGTCTGCACACAGGTTTAAAACAGGGGTCTAGCTCAAATGGCAACTGACAACAGAGACAACTGTACCACTCAGTTGTCTCTGAGTGGTACAACCCAATCATACCACTCAGAGACAACTCCAATTAAAGCTGTGCCGCTACAGCTTTCCAAGCAATTTCCCAGGGGCGTACAAGTACACACACACCCTCACACACACGAATGGGAGCATGTGACACATGCTATTTTTCACCAATATATTATGGGA